CCCGAGTTCCCTTTTCATTTTTGTGTTATTATATTTTTAAAAATTATTATCGTTCCGTATGTGTTTCAAAATGTCTTTTAAATTACTAACAACAAATATGAAAGACTAAGTGCAACGTTGTAACAAATTTCATTTCTGTCCAAGTTAAGAATGATATGACTCATCAAAAACTGCGCAAACGAACATAAACAGTGGCGTAATCGTCTGTTATCGACCGACTCCAGACCGATTTTGAATTTGTACACTGTCATTGCAATGAACAGTTGACATTGTGCTCTGGAGGAAACAATTTGTATCACTCTTGCTACGAATATAATTTGTAATCTGGTATTTTTTGCATACCTTTTTATACGTGTTTAATTGCGGCTCGCAAAAAATTTCAAATTTTGAAAAATGGCTCGGACTATCAAGGAGCTTGGCCACCCTGGACATATTAGAACATCCCCAATATTTGCATGGTTCCTACACATCTAGAAAATCAGAAAAAATTGGGATTTTCGTTAGTGTCCAGAAAAAGTCATGGAAAGTCAGGAAATTTGCCTCTTAGGTTGCCTTGATCTTTTTGCTGACAACATGCTTGACTAAATGTAGCCATCTGCAGGTAGCAAGAAGTGATGTGGTGTAATACAGCTTATAAAAAGGGGTGTAGAATATTTTCAGGACCTAAAATTTCTCCCAAGCATACACAAAATTTCCCCAAAAGTTTATAAAGTACAAAAAAATAAGTAATTTTAATTTAAATGGTATTATTTATCATTTTTAATTTGAATAATTTTGATTGTATAACAAAATAATTTCTAATTTTTTCCAGTTTATTAATATTTTATAAAGTGAAGAAAATTTATTAAGGAATAAATTTAATAAATATATACTTTTGTACATGAATTATACAGGATTTGTTATTGAATAAAAAATAAATAATTGCTTTTTTCTTCTTTTCAAAATCCATGTAGATTTGTGGTTGTGGATTAATAAGAGAATAATCTAATATAGTCTTTTTCTTCTGATCTATGCAATGCGCATGCAATCTAAAGCATTAAATTTATGCAATGAAATTGCTCACATGGATATCCAACTTAATAATAATTATCAAATCATAAAATTATGGTTAGATAACTTATGCATATTTTGATTCATTCTGTTTTTATGAGATGACAAACAATTCGAATTTTTAATTTTTTTTTAAATATTTCTAAAATTACTTCTCTCTTAGAAAATCAGATAATGTTTTTGAGTATAATTACTGAATGAAGATAATCATATATTTTTTAAAAATTAAATCATCGCTATTGTGTAATGCTAATGTATCTAATTTTTTAGTTATATAAATTATTTTACAGCATCCCTCATCATCTTAAAGTATTTAAAGATGTATTTGAAATCATTATTGCTAATATTTAACATAAAATTTATCAAGAATCAGATGTGCCAAATGAAAAACACTTTGTATTTTATTAGTATAAGATTCAATTGTTTTCATTCTCTTTGGGAAAAATCGTAAAATTTCTGGTAAAAATAAATATTTTTGTGAGTGTATGTGGATTATTAAAGATATAATAAATTGTGATAATTGGCTTAAATATTAAATTGTATTATTATTATTTTGCAGCAGACTGACTCACATTACATTGTTGTAGCTACAAAAGATACTTACTTAATATCGTGTGAAGTAATAATTCAAGAGGCAGATGTGATCATTAGAAAAATTGGACATACCAAGGGGCATTATAGTTTATCTGCTACAGGTAACCTTAAATCTGCATTATGTATATATAATATAATTCTAAAGAAGAATGAATATATTTAGATTGCTATATTTTATATGCTGTTTGTATCAAAAATTTGGGAAACTTTAGGAATTTTGGTAACTAAGGAAATTTTTAGCATACAAAATTCAGTTCTGAAACATTAATAAACTTTGATTGTCATCATCACAGTTGATAACTATGATATAAGAAAATGTTTACAACAATTTTTATGTAATTTTCTTATTCAAAAAGTGTTGACAATATTTAATAACTTGTATAATTAATTTATGCATAATTGAAAATATATTTTCTGGAACATAAAGAGATAGCATTACACAAGATTGAACTGGTTATATTTCAGAAATGTAACTGATACTGAACCAATACCAATATATAGGTTTATTGGAATGTTCCCAATGTATTGGAATTAGTTCATCTTACAAACTGATATCTGATAATCTTTTCTTCTTTTTTTCAATTGTTAGAGATGGTAACTGTAACAATACATTGGCATATTAGAACATCCCCAATATATGCATGGTTCCTACACATCTAGAAAATCAGGAAAAATTGGGATTTTCGTTGGTGTCCAGAAAATGTCATGGAAAGTCAGGAAATTTGCCTCCTTGGTTGCCTTGATCTTTTTGCAGACAACATGCTAGACTAAATGTAGCCATCTGCAGGTAGCAAGAAGTAATGTGGTGTAATACAACTTATAAAAAGGGGTGTAGAATATCTTCAGGACCTAAAATTTCTCCCAAGCATACACAAAATTTCCCCAAAAGTTTATAAAGTACAAAAAAATAAGTAATTTTAATTTAAATGGTATTATTTATCATTTTTAATTTGAATAATTTTGATTGTATAACAAAATAATTTCTAATTTTTTCCAGTTTATTAATATTTTATAAAGTGAAGAAAATTTATTAAGGAATAAATTTAATAAATATATACTTTTGTACATGAATTATACAGGATTTGTTATTGAATAAAAAATAAATAATTGCTTTTTTCTTCTTTTCAAAATCCATGTAGATTTGTGGTTGTGGATTAATAAGAGAATAATCTAATATAGTCTTTTTCTTCTGATCTATGCAATGCGCATGCAATCTAAAGCATTAAATTTATGCAATGAAATTGCTCACATGGATATCCAACTTAATAATAATTATCAAATCATAAAATTATGGTTAGATAACTTTTGCATATTTTGATTCATTCTGTTTTTATGAGATGACAAACAATTCGAATTTTTAATTTTTTAGTTCATTATCAAAGTTTTTAATATTTTTACTATTCTAAAAATATTTTGATTTTGAAAAGAAATTTAATTTTAAATGCTTATTTTTAGGATTATGTCAAAGAGGAAATGAAGTGCCTCATTCAAAATTGGTTCTCACTTCACGTGATGGTAGAACAGTGTCTTTTTCTGTAAAATCTTCTAGCCAGAGTAAGTTCAGTGATTTTTATGATTTGATTGTTAAGAAGTTTTTGATAAATTCACATATTTTTTGAGTAAACTAAATTATTAATTTTAATAGATAGTCCTAATCAGATATATATTAAGTCACTTCACAATGGGTGCATATACATTTGGAATCAAACTGATCCTTCAAATCCCATATACAAACAAACTATAGTGATCCAATCAATATCTTTCCACATATACAAATGCCATCGAGTATCAACTGGATGTAATCAAACTAATCCAAGCAGAGGGTAGGATTATTTTAATTGGATAAAAAAATTAAAGATAGCGACCTCCATGGTTTAAGTCAAGCCAATAGTTGACATCAAAGAAATATGTTTAACTGTTGAAATGAAAAGAATTTAAAACTTAATAAATGGTAAGTGAAGACATTATTAAAATATCTGATAAATTGAGATGAAAAAATAAGAATTAACAGAGAGTTTTGAGAGATTGTACAATAAGAATGCATGGCATGCACTCGTCCATTTTGCCATTATGTGAGCAGTTTTATTCATGGAGTAAATACAATTTGATCCTACTTGTATGCTTTCCACCAACTAAAGCACAGGATGGAAGTGATTTGTTTCATGTGTCAGAGACTGGTCTGATTTTGCAGATCGATCCATCGGAAACGAAAAGTATATGCACCCAATGTATTTTGACTAAATATTAATATGCAATGAAACTGCTTATGTGACCTCTTTTGTAAAGGGACCACTTTGAGCTAGCCCCATCAGTGGAACATTAGCAGATTTTACTGTATAAGAACAGACTAGTAAGTTCTCAGTGTAACACAGAAGCAAACATCACATATGAATGACCACTATACATTGTTTGACATATTCTTGTTTGGTGTGGATGCAGCATATTCTGCCTTTGTTCTGCAGCAACAAGTTTTATTCTCAAAAAAAAAAAAAACTTTCAGAAATGAATGTATGTATGTATGTCTTCTTTTCAAGTATTTTTTTCAGATGTTGAAGAGATGATAATCCAAGGGAGCTAAGTCAGAAGAATGAGGTGGATTTTGGACCTATTCAAACTTCAATTCATTCAATGTGATCACTGCTTTCTGCTGCAGCAAGAGCCAATTTCAAATTAGACAATACTTTACACCATTTTGTCTTTGCAACTTTGCTGTGCAAAACAGTGCAAGACTAACTATTCATTTTCAGTAGTGGTATTGTCAAAGATTTATTTTATTGTGTCATATCATCCATATCTGCCAAATATACTATCAAGTAGGTCAGTCGAGAACTTATTTGATTCGCCTGAAGAAGACATTCTATACATGTCAAAAGTGCTTGCAAGCTATTCTGTGTTTATTTTTGTGCATTATTAATCAAAACTTCACTAATGCCGAAAGACAGTGATCACAAACTTTTATCTGAACTTATTAGTTGTCTTCATACTGCAAATATTGAAATTATGTTAACAGTAAATTTTGATATCAGTTAATTTGTGCTGAAAATTGGTTTCAGTCATTTTGTTTATCAGTTGTTCTGTTTGATCTATTCATTTATATTCTTTAGAATGAAATATACTACTAATTTACATCCAACTATTATCTCATCTCCCTACATTTTAATTGTCAGTAGAAAAATAAATATACTACATTACACCATACGTTACATTATGTTACTCATCTTTCTAACAAAGATGGATATTTTTATACAAACTGTTTAAATTATATTAACTTTTAACACAGTAGTCATATTTATTATCATTTAAATTCAGGTATTATTATTGAGCAAGAAGAAATCATTGTGGATGTTGAAATAGATAAGCTTGCTCCACAAGGCATCTGTTGTTCTCGAAACGGAATTTTGTTTGCTGCTCTTTATAAGTACATTCTTTTTTCTTTATCTTATGTAAAAAAAGAATATTCAGGATTTGAAATATTAAAGAATTAGATTTTTTTTTATAAAATTCTTATGAAATAATTATTTACAGTATTCCTGTTATGTACGATTGCCATGTTACAAGAGAACCATTAAAGGTAGAGTTTAGTTTTACTATATTTTAACATTTAATATTTATCTTAATATAGTTTATGAACTATGTAATACAGTAAAATGTGTATAAACTAGATTTGCATAGTACCAAATATTTTTTCTGGTTTAGCAGATTTCCATTTTGTACAGATTATAGTATATTTTTATCGCAAAGGTTATAAATTATGGTTGAGAAATAAATTATAGAG